CTCACTCACTCACTCACTCATTCATTCACTCACTCGCTCACTCATTCATTCACTCACTCGCTCACTCGTTCGCTTATTCATTTATTTATTTCTACATGCATTCTCTTTATTCATACACACTAAATTGCAGAACTATTATAATATTTATTCTTTTTATTTTATTATATAATATAGCTTCTTAGGTCTTTATTTTATTTTATATTACATATAAATTATAAAGATCCGTTTTTTTGCTTTGTTTATAATTTCTTGAGTTTTATGATGATATATTTATTTCATATATTATATTTCATATTCGCTGTTTGTTTTAATCCATATAAAGTTCTTTTAAACCTATATCTGACTATATATTTTCTATATGTTTCATAATTTCTTTAGTTGTCTTATGTATATTATTTTTTTCAACATCTCATTTAATGTATTTTTGATATTGCAGTAGTATTTGTAATCTTTTTTCAATGATTAATAGTATTCGCAAGATTACCTGTTTTATTTTGTTAATTTTTTTATTAATCAATTTCATATCTCAATATATTCTAATGCCACTAATCTTTCTTTATATCACATGTTTGTGTTTTATTTTGAATTCGCAATCTATTGCTCGATTTTCTTTTGATGATTCAACTAATTATGTTTTTTTGCGATTTTTTTAATTCAATATCTCGTGTTTTTTCTTTATCTTCTTCTTTATTCTTTATTCTTTATTTTTTATTCTTTATTTATATATATTATTGAAATTATATATTATTTTCTTTTCCGTTTTACGATTTAATTAGTTATATTTTAATTTCAGACTTTGTATGTTTATGGGAATATTTTAATTAGAGATTTCAGTGTGATACTTTAATAAATTTTAATGAAATGTGATATTTTCTAAAAATATTATATTATATTTCTATTTATAACTTTATTTGTTTTATTTATTAACTTTATTTGTTAATTAAAATGCTTTTGATTTTTTATAAACACAAACACAATTTGTTTCTTTCAGTTAGCTTTTGTGCCCTGTTTTTTAATCTTTACTTTTTATATTTTTTTTTATATATATAATCCTTCTACATAAAAAATATTATCCATTTTTCATATATCCATTTCTTACAACTATGTAACTACTTCTTAAGTACTATGTTATTTTTTTGATTTTTGATTTCTTTCTTTTTTTAAAAATGATTTTTCTCTTTCTATGTTCATTTATCTTAAACTTTGATTAAATCTTTTGGTTTTATTTCTATATTTAAAAATTTAAATTATTTACCATTTCAACGGTAAAATATATATTTACAATAATTATTTTTATTTGACAAAACTTTTATTCTGTATGAAATAATTTTATAAATCTATCTATCTAGCTCTAAGATAAGTATGGTTTTTAAATTTTTTTTATATTCTTCAAATTTACTATAAAAATTTAATTATAATTGATACTTTTGACATAATATTTATTGATGTGTAAAATTTCATTATGAAATTTTTTTTAAATCAAAAAACTTTTTAATTTCTGTAATTCTGTAAATAAAAATAATAATTTTGAAATCATAATTGATTCATTTTAAATTGAAAATGTTCCTTATATTAAATATTTTGGTAGTTTTTATTACATATTTTATTAAAATATTTTAATTTCATATTTTTATATTATATATTTTAAATTATCATACATTATTATTACGCATGAAATGAACATTATTATAGTCATATCATTTCTTCAGAATTGTGTTATAGACAAGGCTGTTAGATCTGTAGTTGCAATAAAAAACATATCAAAGGATGAAGCCACGGAAGCTGTAATGCGAGTTTTCGATAAATGTTATAATGATTTGGAACCAGTTGGAAGACGACTTCGTAGAAATTCATTGGATATGGAAAAAGCATATTATGAAGGGACATATTATGGATATGCAGATTAAATATAAAAATTTTTTCTAAGAGTAGTATTTTATTTTATTATATCTTAAAAAATACTCATTCAAAAATAATGTAATCATTCTGACATTATTATATTATTATTGTATTTTCTTGATATCTAATGTCGAAAAAATAATTTACAAAATAAATTGTATTTTAAGATATAATAAAATATGTTTATTAAATTACAAAAATAATGATAATAATAAATTACAAAAATACATAAAAATTAATATTTGAAAAGCGAATAGTTTTATATCGATATGGGAGATGAGTGCAAAATTTTTTTAATCTAAAATTTCTAATCTATATATAATTTCTATTATATGTATATTAATTCAAGAATATATCAATCTAACAAATAAAAAATATATTTATATATGTTTATTGACTTGTTATTTAACCGAATTATGTAAAATTTTATCTTATAATCACTATAACATCTTTTTTATTATAGGCCATCGGTTTGGCAAATTTTAAATCGAATATTTGCAATGTAATGAATGAATGTAATGAAGAAATATAGTACTTTACATAATGATTTCTTTGTTTTCCAGATTTAATTCTTTAGGAAATAATAAAAAAAATCTTTTATTGTTCAGACTATGAATAGCAGATAAAAGAATTAAGTATAAGTAATATTATAAATATAACATTTTAACAAAAATATAATATTATAAATATATTTTAATTATCTTAATTATAATATAAAAAATCTAATAGATATAAAATTTGAATTGCAATAGTTCCCAAAACAGTTATAAAATAATTTTTCAAGAGACAATATATATTAGAAATAAAAATATACAATATATATTATGATAGAATAGAAATTTTTAATTTTAAATTTTTAATATATATATATATTATAATATTATATTATTTAAATATTTAAATATTATATAATATTTAAAATTTGTATAAATATG